AACCGAAAATTCAATTATAAACACCACAGCAAAAGGTTGCTAAAGCCAGTTGTCTTCTTCAACAACAGTAATTTGGTGCAGTTTGTGAGCTCCGGTCCCGTGATTGCTATGGAGCTGATGGGGGATGAGGCAGTGTCTACCTGGAGAAAAGTTCTAGGCCCGACTGATTCTGGTGTGGCACAAAAAGATGCAGCGAATAGTCTTAGAGGCCAGTTTGGTACCGATGGCACTAAGAATGCAGGACATGGGTCCGACTCGTTGGCATCTGCTGCACGGGTAACAAAAAAGCAACTGTCAATAGCAATTAATCGAGCCCACAATCTTCTGTTGATCAGATTTTTCCCAGTAATATGCTAATAAAGGCAAAGGAAATGACTGGTGATGTGTTTTTAATTACAACTATATAGGAGCTGGAGTTCTTCTTCCCTTCCACTACTGGTCACGGTCCCTCCAACACAGCAAAGTACTCAGACTGCACCTGCTCTATCATTAAACCTCATGCCATCTCAGAAGGTAAACCCACAACACACACTGACGATATACTCTATCTCTGTCTAATCAGGCATCTTTGAAATAACCTGCTATAGATGAGATATAGCATAGTTAATTATTTGCTATTTGTAATGTGCTGTTAGTAGTGTATTATTAACCCATCTCTGTTTATAAGTGCACATTATCATCAGAAGGACTATGACACTCCTGGTATGTCATACCCCATCATTCCTGTCCCAGATACTCACTCAGGCAATATTCTCTTAAATGCTGGTCCAGGAGTTCTGCTAATTCTCCAAAACCTTGCCATGCAACATGAGTGATTCTAGTGCCATTAGACCATATCATCTTGTTTCACTTCATACATGAAAGCAGCACATATTTGCTTTAGCCTCCATATTAACAGGTTACTGCTTTCACATTGCGCCATTAAGCAGCTTGGTGACGCATTTCAGAATTGTAGGTGCAACTGCCAGGGTTCCAACATTCTGGAAATATTAGAATTTTAAAGGGGTCCTATTATGCTCTTTTACAAAGTCTTGATTTTGTTTTGGGGGTGTACTAGAACAGGCTCTCATACTAGGTTGTTTTTACACATTTTACACATCATACACATTATTTTTCACATATTTTACATTATTACAACACCTCTCTCCCTTGTCTGGCATGAACGGCTCGAATAGTTTCTGTATCAAATGAAGGCCCGCCTTCTAAAATACAAAATGTGTTGTGATTGGTTAGCTGGGCCAGTGTGTGCTGTGATTAGTTAGCTGGGCCAGTGTGTGTTGTGATTGGCACCACTCGGCGCCTGGTCGGGAAATGTCATGCCCCTTACCATAGACACCTGCGAGCTTCAGTGTAAATATTGTATCAAATCAAATCAATTTGTGCGCGATTTAAACCCGGTTGATTGTAACCACTCTAAGTTTGTCTGCCTTGGGAAAGCTAGCATGTCACAAATCCCGGAAAATATGCGTTGTAGTCCAAACGAGTCGTTCATTGTAGGTTTTGAAAAATGATTTCTGTTAAATAAAATAGCTCCTTTTGAAGTGGACTTTGAGCTTTGTAACTTGGCAGATCTTTTTTTATGCAACATTACAGACTAACTGAAGTTGAAAAAGTGAAAAAGCATAATAGGACCCCTTGAAAACCAGACCTGGAAAAGTCATGAAAGTTTCTAAAATAATTATACAATTTTCTAATTATGGCTGTAAAATATGTTTGTCCTATATTTTGGCATATATATTTTCCATCTGGGAATGTTGCTTAAGTAGAGTGCCACACTTGCTCAGAAACCATTGTAATGACTGTTTTGTTGTGGTCTGTCTCTACAGAGCAAATTACTCTTCTGTCAATGACAGACATACAACCAAAAATTCCTGTTCAGTAAATCTGATTGAATGCAGACATATTTTTATATTTATGTTTATTAATTATGTTTATATTCTGTGCTTTGAAGTTTAAGTTATGTTCAGTGTAGATTCATGATCGTTTGCATTTAAAAGTGGTCTTTTGAAGACCAAGTAAATTAGACCAGACCAATGGAGAACTACTCTTTCAAAAAAACAATTTCTTCTCCAAAAAAGTCATCTTTTCAAAGTGACCCCAAAGTGGTGGATTTGGTGGAAGTGTAAAAACTCAGTTCTCATGAATGAAAGGAGCAATTTAGTTAGCGAAGGTGCTACTTCACAGTCATTTGGTCCTTTCGTGATTGTCTTATCCTTATGTAACTGTCTTCATTCCCTCCTGGCCTAGTGCTGTTTTGCTTGTTATATTTTGATGGGTATAAAACCTCCAAAGCCAGTGCGTACTCATAACCAAGCCTTCGCTCTGGATTTGTCCAAATCCATCTCCTGATCCCTGTTCATGGAGCATGCCGCCAGGGCACTGACCTGTGAAATCTTAAATCCTCTAGATAGGGCTGAGGTAGATATTTCACATAGTGGACGTGGACTAAGCAGGCCCCAAGTTGGTTTTGTACATTGCTGTGGGCTGATTAACCTGGAGGGAATGTTACACATAAACACACAGAGCCCCAACAACAGTTACAAGCACAAAAAATACATGCTTCTCACAGTTTTGACACACATGCTCTGTTGATTTTAAGGGTTTCAATCCTTCACTGATAACTTTGAATGTCCTTTTCATGTTGCATGTCTCACAGCCCCATCAAAATAACGTTCAAGAACATTCAGAAATGTCGGAATGTGTTGAAAAAAGAACACTGAATTTTAATTATCTCTTTTTGTTTCTACCAACATCATTTCCCCTGTTAGCATTGTGTCTCTTAGTCACCAAATTTTCCATCCAATCGTTCACCCACACTCATATTCCGACTACCAACCTCCTGCAGTGTGTCTGCTCTCTAGACCTCCAGCAAAAAAGTGCTGGCAACCAGTGATTTAAAGAGGATTGCAGCCCTGATTACCTTTTGATTGGAGATCTAGAGCCCACCAGGTTTGCAAAAGGAGTAAATAAAGTCCCCGCTGAGAGAGCTGCTACATGACTGTAATTAGACAGATTATGCGGCAGTCGATTTGTTTATTTTTTCAGGATAGTCATGTGGCTTGGTTCAACATAACTTTTGGATTATAGACTACAATAGCATGTTGTTAGCATCACTCAACTGTATTTTCACTCAAAACTATAGTTTCACTCTATGAAATATCACATTGCATAAGATTGGAATGTGTGATTGTATGTTTTCCATTTCTCGTCACAGGGCCGTCATCACCAACCCATGTAAATTTTGTCCTGTGCCCTAAGCAGCAGCACTGCTACAAACTAAAAACATACACAATATATTGTGTATTTTATTGTATTCTCTACAGTTTAAAAGTTTGGGGTTGGTAAGATTTTTTTTAATGTTCTTGAAGTCTTTTATGCTCACCAAGAATGCATTTATTTGATCAAATTTAGGTTACACTTTATTTCGATAGTCCACTTTAGACATTCTATTAACTATAAGTAACTAATAAAAATGGTAATATTATGAAGTATTATTAGAATTTAAAATAATTGTTTCTATTTTAATATATTTTAAAATGTATTTTATACCTGTGATGGCACAGCTTCAGTGTCAGGGATTCATCACAGTCACTGCAGTCACCAGCCAGGATAATCACCCGATCACAGTCACCTGAGTTCTAATCACCTGCACCTGCTGTCACCAATCAAGCCACACTACAACTACACACACATCACAGTCACTCACTGTCCGGTCTACCGTTCACCCCTATGGACTGTTCTGGACTCCCTATACGATATTCTCCTAGAAAGACTTACCTTCTGGTTCTCCTGCGATCCTCCAACGCCTCCTTGGAATCTGTTCCACGATCTACTATGAAACCGGAATAAGATACTCACCCTCAGAACTCAGATAAGAACCCTGGAATCATTCACTCTGTTGACACTCACCTGCCTTAACCTAACCCGTTCCACTCAGCCACATCTTGTATCAATAAACCATCCTGTCTTTCACTTACCCGTTGTGTCTGGCCTTACTTTATGACAATACCGTGATAAAAGCATTAGCAATTAATTGCAACATGAGAATTTGATACCGGCATATCCCTAGTGGACATCCTAATATGATTTGTTTACATAATAAGAGGCTAATAATGCCAAATCTGATTGGCCAACCGCTGCATGTGGTATTTGTGTTGGTTCTGCCATGTGTCACATCCTGTGACTTTGACTGATGTGATTGTTAAACCTGTAAGATGAATTGGCCATCAAACTCGCCCTGGAGGAGGGGCGGCACTGGCCTACAGGGGGCAAACCATCCGTTCACAGTCATTACCGACCACAAAAATCTCCAATACCTCAGAGAAGCCAAGAGACTTAACCCACACCAAGCCCGCTGGGCATTGTTCTTCACTCGGTTTCAGTTCACCATCACCTATTGTCCCGGGAATCGTAACAGTAAAGCCGACGCCCTCTCACGCATGCACTCCCCAGACACACCTTCCGATCCGGAGCCCATTCTCCCTCCAGCCTTGATTGTAAGCCCCATTCAATGGAACATCGACGAGGACATTCGAGCCGCCACTCTTACCGAACCTGCTCCGCCGGGAGGCCCAGAAGGGAAAACGTATCCTTTTTTTGAAATGAGTTTCGTTTGGTATAATTTGTATCTTAATTTTAATATGTTTTTTGTTGGTCAATAATTTACCTAAATAAACAAGAAGAAGAAATAAACGTTTGCGTTCAAGACCAAGCCCGCTACTGTCAGGGATTCATCACAGTCACTGCAGTCACCAGCCAGGATAATCACCCGATCACAGTCACCTGAGTTCTGATCACCCGCACCTGCTGTCACCAATCAAGCCACACTACAAATACACACACATCACAGTCACTCGCTGTCCGGTCTACCGTTCACCCCTATGGACTGTTCTGGACTCCCTATACGATATTCTCCTAGAAAGACTTACCTTCTGGTTCTCCCGCGATCCTCCAACGACTCCTTGGAAGCTGTTCCACGATCTCCCACGAAACCGGCATCAGACACTCACCCTCAGAACTCAGATAAGAACCCTGGAATCCTTCACTCTGTTGACACTCACCTGCCTTAACCTAACCCATTCCACTCAGCCACATCTTGTATCAATAAACCATCCTGTCTTTCACTTACCCGTTGTGTCTGGCCTTGCTTTATGACATTCAGCTGCTGATTCTTCAGAAATCATTCTAATATGCTGATTTGTTGCACTATTTCTATTAGACTATGCACTATTAGAACTATTTCTTATTATTATCAATGTTGCTGTCGGTTGAGCTGATTGATATTTGTGTGGAAACTGTGCTACATTTTTTTTTTCTCAGGATTCTTTGATGAAGAGAAAGTTTAAAAGAATAGCATTTATTCTGAAATATATATATATATTTGTAAAATTATAAGTGTCTTTACCGTCACTTTTGATCAATTTAATGCATCCTTGCTGAATAAAAATATTAATTTCTTTCAAAAAAAAAAAAGACCTACTGACCCCCATACTTTTGAACTGTAGTGTATACTGTGGAAAATTCGGAAAATTATGTCCCTTGTGACTTTGTTTTGTTATATGATGTAGCATGCATAATGACTGCATACTGTAGCTGTAGGTAAGCTAAAGGTCATGTTTCTATGAATTATCTGTGCCTGGTGTATACTCCAGCAAGCAGCATGCCATAATAAATGGATAATGATTTACTCCAACCTATTGTCCAGGGTTAGGGTCATATCACAGAGTTGTATTGCATTTTTACCAGCCAACTTTCTCTGTTCTTTTAATGATCAACCTAGTATGCGGTGTAAAGTGAGTTTCTCTAGATGGTTAATGTTGTCATCAAGGTCATGATACTTTCAGTGTGAAATGGCTTAAACTTTGGGCACCGCTCATTAATGTATTTTGAGATTCACACTATATGGTCCAAAATCTATAATGCTAAAGTTAGTTGTAGCTGGAAGCATCTGTAAAAGTACAGCCTGTTGATATTAGATATTCAAAGCAGATTTGACTTCTTTTCAAAACTATTGGCCAAAGTCACTTTAACAATATAAAGGTTTAACCATTTTTAAATGTTCTCCAATGAGTCCTTTTTTTTTTAAACTGAAATGTCTTCGCTAATAGAAAAGCAGTGTGATTTGTTTTGAACTAGCTCATGACTGAAATAGACAAATGTGTTGCCAGGCAGCGCTGATACCATTGCCTAGCAACAGGGCAGATTGTGTCTGGAAGCTGCTGTCAGAATTGGAACCTTTAGGGTCACCAGTGGTGCCGAGGGAGGGTTAGGGATGTGTGAAGATGTAATTTATGTGACAAAAGAAAATTCTCTAGGGCAGTTATACAGTGCATGATCTGGAAATGATCTGTCATATGGCGTTTACGCTCTATGTGATACCACATTTAAATATGGAAACGTTAAACAGGTTTGTTTGTCCTTGCCCTTTTCAGCTATTGAAGTACGACTGAAATCACATTTAATTTGTGCTGTGTAGTATATTTGTCCTTTCTCTTAAAGATATGAGAGAAAAAACACTGCAAATTTAATTGCTTTGTGTCAAAGCTGTGAACTTATATAACGGCATTGCAATTGAATTGTGGGCCAAACAAATTCAATTAAAAAGTAATATTGCCTGAAACATGTTACATGCACTGATTGATTGAATATGTGCTTTAGAAACATAATGCACGGTTCGTTTGGTACTGAAATTGAAACCACAAACCAGTAAATCAGTGCTAATGGATACATTCCCCGCTGTGCCCTTTATTAATAAAAATCTCTCAGCACTCAGTCCAAAGGAGCAGACTTAGAGATGTGCTCTCGTGTTATTGAGATCAAAGTCTCTCCTTTGAAATCACTCCTTCATGATCTTGTGAACCGTTTGTTGGCCTGATCATATCGGTGAAACAGAAGGTCAAAAGTCTTACTTGCCACTTAACTGATGCAGCCAATGCAACATACAGTTGTTTAACTACAGGGACAGTCACCTTAGAGCAAGGGCACATACTGTAGTTTATAGAACAGGATCACATGAGTTCCTAGGTCACTGCTACTTGCTATTGAACTTGAAACCTTTGTGTTAGCATCTCAAATCATATGCATCGTCCATCTAATGATTAGTCTGATCTTAGAAGTGCAAGATATTTCCAAAAGCATGTGAATATACCCTGCACTATACTTTGCTGGACCCAAAAAACGTAATATATACATCCACTGTACCCTATATGAGGAGAATGATTTAAAATACTGAAAATTAGTCTTGTTGTGTGGTTCATTCTTACAATTACCGTTCTATATATGATTTAGAGAGATATTTGTAAAATGTAAGATTGCATTCAAGCCAGTTAGTTTTAAATGAGCATCTTTCATTTGAAATGTTTTTTTTTTTTTTTCAGTGTTTACGGGAAAGATCCTTAAGTCAATTATAGAAAATGGATTTGAGATATCTGCCCTACAAATGGTATGTATTTTAGTTGCCTAGTAAAGTTGAACGTTACAATTGGATGAAGCTTACATATAACATCAATACTTTTATTAACAATCAAACAAGTATGTTCAAATAATAAAGTTAAAATAATTACTTTTTTTAAAGAAAGATATGCACATTTTATGGATATTAGACCACCTTTCTTTAAAAGAACAAATGATCAAACTAATAGCAAGCTAAGAGAAGTAAAAATACTCTATCTATGAACCAAGGGCAAACACAGTTATGTTCTCCCTTTGATGTAACTTGACCCCGTCATCGACCATGCAATCTGTGACCAGATCAGTAGCCTCCCACATCTCCAAATGAGTCCTCTGCTGACCAATTACAGGGCTGCAGCTTTGTCACATGACCCGGCTAAAAATAGTGTACAGAGGATGCCCCTGGGCTAGAGCAGATCAATGAAGGTTTTTTTACTATTAGAAAGAGCTGTCCAGAGCTGACTTGGTGGTTTATAAAAAGAATATCAGACAGAGATAATGGTGTGTTGGAATTGGCTTGGAGATTTTATCTCTAGTGTGTTGGATAACCCACTTAAATGGGTCATTTTCCAGTCATAAACGATTAACACATTGATTTTGTTTGTGAAAATAAAAATTCTTATTGTTTTGTCCTTAATGATGAAATCATATTATATATTATGTTGTCATATAATGTTACATCTTGATTTTTACTATATTTACTCATTTATACAAGTAATAATGTCCCTGTAAGTGTTCAGTTTGTTTTTATTCAGTAATCAAATTTTGACTTGGTTTTCCGTTATTACAGTTCAACATGGATCGAGTGAATGCTGAGGAGTTTTTAGAGGTTTATAAAGGGGTTGTAGCCGAGTACACTGTAAGTATATGTTGCTGCACTCTCTTCTCTGATTTCAATTGGTCCACTAAGAAAAACATGTACCCACTTATGTGTCTTTAATTACTATGTACTAACATTTAAATTAATAATTTGATACAGTGCCCTTAGATACTTGTTGATAGTACGACTAAACCTGTACCTAACCTTAACCGTATCCCAACTCAGCAGCAGCAAAAGTGTTTTGCAATAACACATGAATACAGTAAGTACATTCATTGTACCTTGATGTAAGTGGATAAGTAGTTCAAGACACCCAATATAAAGTGGGCCAAAAGTATTAATAAACCCCTTACTTGTTATGGCTACTATATAGTATAGTCAGTACAGGGGTCCATACAAAGAAGTTCCGTTTCTCCCTTTTCTATCTCACATGTGATTCCAGTTATGTTTAATTATTCATTTAGAGAAGAAGGTGTAGTCACCAAAGCATTAAGTGCTATGTCGTAACTGCATGTGCACCTGTCTCCTGCAAACCTCTCTATAAAGGCACAGACGGGGCATATAAATATATATGAATACTCACCTTATGGCAGTTTCCCTGTTCTGAGCACAGTGTTACGTCACAGTACATGGAATTTTGGTTCACTGGAACAACCTTCACATTCCTGTTGGCTATTAAGCATCAATAAATTGCTTTCTTGTCTTTAAATTTTAGCCGAATAGCAATCATTTATTCTGATAACGTCTGCACAAGTCTTTTAGACCAAATATAAGCCATTTTCGGTTCAGGGTCATTGAAGCCAGAGGCTATTTTGGAGTACAGGACCTTGTCTGTTGCCATGCAGACTCTTCAACATATTGATTGCCTCACCTTCACCAAAACACAAGCCTGCACACTGCAGGTGCAAAGTGCCCATGAAACACTTGCACTGAGCTTGCCACTATTTTTAAGCCATAACAGTGCAAGTATGCAAATTGACAGAGTGAGAACTAATGATGGTGTTCTGCAAAAATACATTATTAATTGTCTTACTCTGGCTGCTGGAACAAAGTGCACCAGTGCCAAGCAGATCTTATCGTGATACTTTACAGTTCAGTACAAAGAGTAATTCCACAAGTCTTTTTTTCCCCTTCTTCAAGTCATTTTTCTCTCTTCAAAGATGGCTTTTAGACCTTGTGAAGTTTCGGTGGAATTATAATATAGTGAACAGTGAACTTTTGCAACATTTTTCCATATCATCACTCAGTGACTCATCCTCTTATTATGTAAAATGTGGCAAAGCCTTTGGTAATAATTTTATAGTAACCTAAAATATAATACTGACTAAGCATAAACCTTGTAAGACCATAAAAGGAATTGCATTCAAATACTCAGAATCAGATATACATTCCCTGTTATCATTGCATCATGTCATTGTCATTTCATTGTAACAGCACTGCTCATATTGGGTCACAGAGGTTGTGGTTACATGCACACTGATATTTCGGGTAAAATGGGGAAGCTCTTTAACTCCTCTAACTTCATTGTTTAACGATAAACTACATGGTTTCATAAAGAACCTTTCTATTGCACAAAATGTACTTTATTGTGGAAAAAGTTTCTTTAGATTATTAAAATGTTCCTCACACTAAGAAAAAATGGTTCTTTTTAGGACTGAAAGGTTCTTTGGGGATCCCAAAATTGTTCTTCCATGGCATTGCTGTGAAAACCCCCTTTGTGGAACCTTTATTTTTAAGAGTTACTCATACAGGTCACAAATGGTTTATGATGGTAATTTAGTGGGTATGTAGTGTTTGCAGCTTTTGTTTTGTATGTCATAAATGTTTGATTTTGAAATATTTTTTGTGTGTAGTCACAAAAAGGAACAGGTTCATCTTAAAGCCTTCATGAATCATGTCTTTGAGATGCAAAAATGGTTAAAAACTGACAATTTTTAAAAAAACTTCCTCAGTGCTATTATTCTTTTTGAAATCTAAAACTAAAAGCTGCCGTTGTGGACACCGTAACTGTATGTGAAAGTGGCTCATGGGCTGTTTAGTGGTCTGTGCTTAGTGGGCACTTCACATTCACCCCAGAATTCTAATACCCCACAAAGTTATACAGACCCAACACAGAGGCCAACTCATCAAATCAGATTAACAGAGAATGAGAACTAGTCTTGTTGGTTAATAACCTGTTCCAAGAACAATAGCAATAATTGTTTGGTTTGACATCCTTTAATTTATATATTTATTAAGAGGCACACAGGTAACTTGAGTCCTCCTGCTGCTCCAATGTCTTCCCAAGGTCTGTTCAGATAATAAGCTCTTTCATTGGTACAGGCACCGCAGGTAGACCGAGGGAAATCGTTAACTCTTGACTGCTTGTGTTGCAGAATGTGGTGGATGAACTTTGTTCCGGACCTTGCATGGCCCTGGAGATCCATGCTGCTGATTCACCCAGAACCTTTCGGGAGTTCTGTGGACCTGCAGACCCTGTATGGGTTCAACAAGATGGTTCAATCTTGTTATAATGTGTACTTATTTCCTTGGGGGTTCCCAAAACAAAGTTTAAATTATGTGTTTAGTTATGTTTATACCCAAAAGCTTAGCATTAATATTTTCAGTTCTCTATTTATATACTGTATGTATATGAGCTTACAACCTCATTGTCATTTCAAGGTTTTATGAAAGGTATAACAGAAACTTAATGGTCCTTCAGTCTCTTGGACTCAGTGAAGAACCTTTCGGGAGGGAGTTCTGTGGACCTGCAGACCCTGTAAGTAACAAGATGGTTCAATCTTGTTATAATGTGTACTTATTTCCTTGGGGGTTCCCAAAACAAAGTTTAAATTATGTGTTTAGTTATGTTTATACCCAAAAGCTTAGCATTAATATTTTCAGTTCTCTATTTATATACTGTATGTATATGAGCTTACAACCTCATTGTCATTTCAAGGTTTTATGAAAGGTATAACAGAAACTTAATGGTCCTTCAGTCTCTTGGACTCAGTGACCTCTTTTACCTTATGTATCTTGTAATCTGTAGCGCTCTAAAGGCATATCATCTGTACTCCCCGGGTAAAAACCTGCTTTGTGTCTGCATCAGACAGTCGAAATGTACACCACCATGAAGGTTTCGTCTTGTATGAAAGATTAGTCCGCCAACTCATGTTGCATGACGACTGTTTCCGCTCTAGGTGGCCACCATTCTGCCAGCAGATTTCTACTACTGCCAGAGATAACTTGAAAATTGCATGTACCAGTCATGATGAACCATTAGATAAGAATTACGATCCCTGCACCTTGGAGTCCTTGGTCTGGGATTTATCGGCCTTATGCACAGTACTAAAAGGTTTGATAATAATGTGGACTTTGTCATTTTCAGTGTGGCGCTCCCTTATGGTCCAGTTGGTTTCCTGTGATGGTTAAGACAGTGGACTAAAGGCTCTAGAGTTTAGTCTTTCGGTTAAGGACCCGATGAAATTAAAATTAGAGCATTGTTGACTTTTAGTCTATGTTTCTTAGCTTTTAGGTTTTGTATATGTACTCATTGAGTTTTAAAAATTAAAGGTATAGTTCACCCAAAAATTTAAATTCTGTCATTAATTACTCACCCTCATGTCGTTCCAAACCCGTAAGACCTTCGTTTATTTTCGGAATACAAATTAAGATATTTTTGATGAAATCCGAGAGCTTTCTGACCCTGCATAGACAGCAATGGAACTACCAGATTCAAGACCCAAAAAGGACTTCTTTAAAATAGGCTATGTGACATCAGTGGTTCAACCTTTATTTTATTAAGTTACAAGAATAATTTTTGTGAGCAAAGAAAACAAAAATAAAAAAAAATCTTCGACACGCGTTCACGAGAGTACCACGCATGCGTGTGGTGCTGCTGACATTGGAGCCGGCATTCTGACGTAGAACCCGGATGCGCTGCGCCTTGTTTGCAAGCAGAGGAATGCACATGTATGCGTTGCGGTACTGTTGTGAATGCGTGTCGAAGACTGACACGGAAGAGAAGAAATTGTTGAATAAAGTCGTTATTTTTGTTTTCTTTGCACACAAAAAGTATTCTGGTAGCATTTTTGGGTGAAGTATCCCTTTAACAAAATGATCTCTTAGCAGATATACACATTTAAAATGCAATAAATTATTAAAATAAAATTAAAATATAAGCATTTTTAATTCAAGTTGTAAATAATTAAATAAAATAATTAATAATAATAATACATATTACATTTTATAATGAAATATACAATTAATAACAATTTGTCTTCCAGAATAAACTTACTCCAGAATAAAGAGGTATATCAACATTTTTGTGTGATAAAATGCTCTTTAGAATCAGAATTCCTGCCTCTAATTAGCAATGGAAAGTAGCAAATCATGGTTAATGTCTGTGACATAAGCTGAAGGCAAGCTCTTTAATATGTGCCATCACAAATAGCTGATTCAATGCAAAATATAACACCCATCAAAAGGCAGTGCATTGATTTGGAATGATTAAACTGACTGGAACTAACTGCATTAAATGGTTTTAACACACACCTTCCAATGAATCAGCTTGCTTACTTCCCACTTAGGTTTAGGAGTAAGGAGTAGAGGTGGACCTACGTTTTTTTTTTTAAATGTTATGTTTTCAAACAAATCGTACAAATTTCATACAAATTCGCCACCTCGTAAAACAGTTACGAGATCGGATTGGACCTCCAGCAAACTGTCGTGCTGTTAGTGCTTTATTACTCAAGAGGGGTGATATGACATGAAATGTTTCTATTGACAAAATTTTTCACAGTTTATGCCTTGCACAAGTTGATTCTCACCCGCTAGATATTTGTGTTCTTTGACACAAAAGGCTTTGATATGCAAAACATGGCTGCAGTGCTGTGACCTTTACAAGGTCAAACTGGATTGCTCAAACATGGGTTCCGGAAAGAACTCCACACTTCTCATTTGATAACCCCACCCTGAGTCCTCCCCACCCTCTCTTCCACACACACTCACATGGCACAGAGGGAAAGAGAGAGAGAGAGCGTGAGAGTGTGTGGTTGGTTTTTAAACACTCTGACAGGCTGTATATCAGCATTGTCTGGTCACAAAAGCAATACTTAATTATTTTATATCTCACGAGTTCTTTTAACTCAAGCTCTTTATTTTGACATGTTCTCCTGCTTTCCCCCTCCTTTTGTGCTGGATCTGTGGCTGCATGTCTGTGGTTTATAAACACTGCCAGTATTATGTGTAAAACTGTTATTATGTGTGTTTTGGGGAGATAGACTGGTCTAGATATTGTACCGTAAACACTGTGTATAAATGAGGGGTTACCACCTATTACTTTCCATTCACTGAATCATACTAAACACATATACAACACCACAGTGTGCTGAACCGCCTTTTACATCCATTTATACATTTATAAAGCTTTGTAGTAGTGTTTAGACTGAATTCAGTCATTTATGCTAAATTGTAGCACAGCTAATAACAGGGTATGTACATACTGTATCTTGTTGCCTTTTTATTTAAAGTACGTTATAGTGTTATTCTAATATTATTTATATACTATTATAGTATTTATAAATTTTTTTAATGATCTTTTTCATTTTAGTTTAAGATTTTGTTATGTGCTTTTGTCATTTTATTAGTTGGTCAAATTTAGCTTTAATTTATTTTTATTTCAGTTTTAGTAATTGTACTAAAACTTATTTACTCAAACTTTAAAGTTATTTGTCAAGACCTTGTTTTTAAAATTTAGTTTTAATTTTAAGTTTATCATTTAGTATTTCTATTTTATTTCAGCTTTATTTCAATTAAAGAAAATTATTTTAAGTTTTCATTTAGTTTCAATTCATTGTTTTATTTTTAGCTTTAGTTAATACCAATAATAACAACGCTGGTACACGAGAAAGAGGACAGGAAATGGGGGGTGTCATCATGCTATGACTCGAGCTGTATTTCAACACATCTTGCCTACATAAGAGTGTTACAGCTCTATTTTTGAGCTAGCATACTAACTGCAAGGCCTTTATTCTGAACTGCTCCAACCTGAACAGTCATTCCAGTGTGCTTCATTCTTAAATCAGTGAATGTTCATGCAATAAATGTTTGCTAGAAAAATTGTTTTGTTGATGACCAAATTATTTCAGATTGATGGCAAAATAAAATAGCTAGAGTAGCTACAGAGAGTCCGTCAACTGAAGGTGCGTCATCACAGCTCCCAGTGTAGACAGCTCTATTGATTGTAATGGAAGAAATCTTATGATTACATGCATCTAATGTCGACACACCCTAACTAACTTTTTTTTAAAGAAAAAGTTGCATGCAGTTTTGTTTGTTGTTGTCACCTAGACTACAGTGACATGTTTGCATTCATGCTTTCTGTCTGTAATAAACCTTGTAAAAAAAAATGTATTAGGCTAGTTTAACAGTCCTTAAGATAATATTGCCGATAACATTAAAGGCCAAACCAAAATACAAAGCCGGATATTAGGATAAACCATTAACACTTTGAGACTCCAGGATTGTGTGAACAAAGAAAGGGGAGAAATATTTTCAGCATTGTTTGTGAAGGATTAGTTGTAGTTCATAAAGAGAGGATAATACTCTTCATCACTGTTTGAGTCTGAAGGCAGGCGTGTTTTTCTTTCATTTCAGCCGAAAGTTTCAAAATCCTGTACAAACACAAAGATTCCATTAATTCAAGTTGACCAATGTTGGAATGTGTAAAGTTTTGTGAGATCTTGACAGAGCATCATAAAGTTTCCTGAGCGCAAGTCGGCTTCTTATGACATCTTCTGCAGAGTTGGGAGATGCGTATGGTAGATTTTAGGAGGAGAGGTCAGTGTTTGATGACGTGGTTAGTTAGTCTAGATTCAGCATGCTTCACTAACCACTCTTGCCTGGTGACCTCCAGTGGTTTTCCCACTGCTGAACACACTTTAGTATCATGTAAAGCCTTACCAAATAGTGAAATGGGAAGGTCCATGAGAATAGCCTTGAAAAGTTTATTTTTGATTTAGAGAAAGACTGTATCAGGGAGCAGTGGCACAGCATGATCCATCATATGGTGGAAAACAAGAAACAGAAGTAAGAACATTATGCCAGCAACATACCTGAAGATACATGCTTCATTTGGCAGAATTTAGCACATATTGAACCTCTTTGTGTCCTAGTGTAGCACCAGTCCATATCAGTACCATATCATTTATTGACTGATATTAGAGATTTAAAATTATTGGTGTTGGTCGATATTGGATATTTAATTGTTCATTTCTCTATTCTTACATTAATTTGCCATCATCTAACGCTCACTTAAAGCTGGAGTATGCAGTTTCTGCACTGTTAGTGTCAACAGAGCAGAATTTCAAAAATCAAGCATATTTTCAAACAACCTTTCGTACGTCACTCCCAGTTCGAACATTGCTAACAAAACTCTTATGGGTCTATAAAAATGAAGGCATGTCTTAACCGTTAAAAGTAGGCTACTTTCAATTTA